TTGTTCAAGTTTCTTTTCATTCCATAACTTTAGATCGTTTTGTTGGTCTGTTGGGTATGCCTAAGAAATGAAACAAAAAACTCTCTCTTTAAAAGCCACCTTCTGTATGAAGAATGATCTTTGGGGGCGGGGGGGGGGGGCGGTTTACACATACGTATATATATACACAAAACAGGTATATATATATATTAGTATATATGTCTGTGTGTGTACGCGTGGCGAAAACACTCAACCTTTATCTTTAGCTGCACTTAATTAACCGCGCAACATTATCCGTCTTGTGTCTTCCCGCCTGTATATGGCCATTCGGAAATTGCGCCTCAAAACGCGGTTATATTTAAAAAAAAAAAAAGGTGGGGGGGGGGAAGAAACAACAACTAATAATCTTTTTTATTACTATTATTAATATTTTTTGCGCGTTCATTGCACATGTTTGGGAATATTTCAATATTTACTTTTTATTTTATCTTTATTTATAAAAAGCACAATGGCAACGCGCATGCGCATACTCTGCTCCGCTCATTAACCTTTACACTTTCACACAACCTACAGATCTAGAACGAAGACGCTGCATTTTTTGAATAATCTCTGGTGAGCATAGATTTCATAGAAAAAACATAAGAAAAATAAATTTAAATTTAATAAATTTCATCTAGGTCATAATGGATGGAAAAACAGAAGGACTAACATGACTGTTTTATGTTCAGCAGGCATAGAAAGCACTGGATGTCTGGGGGTCTGGGTCTCTTCCATTCCTGCTTCATGTCCTGGGGGCATATGGCTCCCTACACCTACTATTAGACATTTAGATGGAGAAATCTTATGAACACAAGAGCTCTTACACACAGAGGTGTACAAACAGGTAATCACAGATGCACAGTATCTTGGTCGGCTGCTGCCTCTAAACACATAATGCATTATTAGTACTCTATGCTGCTCAGTAACATTTAATATTTATTATTTACTGTCTCCTCAGGTTTAGAACAACTTGAGGGTGATGATTACCAAAATAACGTTTTATTCCTTTTATCTTATCATCCATTTTATCTTATCCCTTAGCATTTAATTACCTGAGTTATACCAAATAATAAATGCTTGATTCATATTAATAATAATAAATGATCTTATTGGTCTCTTTTTTTAAGGTTAGTGTTGGAATACAAACATTTTGGGTTAACTGTAATGAAAACACTTTTAATGCATAAATCTAAATTGAATTTATTCTGAATATTGGACTATAGATTTGTCGAAATAAGTACACAATAGTTAGTTGAATTTTCAAGTCAAGAAATGAAATCAAAAAGATCATTACATTTCTAGACATTATTTTTTAAAGAATATTCATGAATTAGTGCATTGAACAAGAAAAAATAAAACAAGTAATCATTGTTCTAATTATGATTTTTACAGTAATTTCTACTTTCTACTGCAATCATATATTCTTACAGAATTTATCATGAAAGAAAGAACTAAGCATTCATTTTGACAGCCAAAGCACACTTAAATTTTGGCAAGACTGAATGGACATGTCAAATAGTGCACAATTAGTGAATGAGACCAATTTCAAATGTCTGCTGTAATGTTAAAAAAAGAGACTCATAAATACAGTAGAGAGAAGACGGTTACAGGGCAGATCTCACCCATATAGACATAAATGCATCTATGAGGTTAATGCTCTTACACTGAAGATTTGTTTACAGGACCCATAATTCTCTCTCTCACTTCTCTTTTCAAGGAAATCCCAGACACCCTTCCAGAAGACAGAACTCTGCTGATGACTAATGATGAAGAGTGCACTGCAGGTCCTGTTCAGATAGAGGTCCCAGTGGATTCAGGTCAAACTAAAGAGCAAAATCAACTACTACTTCTGGCACTTAAGCTCAAACACAGTTTGACCAATGACTGTCTTGAAGATATCATGAAAATCCTTAATGTTGTTGGTGGCAGTGATTCAGCATGCAGGATAAAATATTCATTTTACAAAGCTTTTGATGATACAAAAGACATCATGAAAATCTGTTATGTGTGTGAACAGTGCAGTAATATAATGTCAGCTGAACTGGACCAAGTTCATTGTGTTCAATGCAACAGCACCTATGACAAAGCAAGTAGGTTTACCAATAACTTTCTCATATACCTCTCCTTGGAAGATCAACTCAAAACTCTTGAGAATGCCAGGAATTACAGATGAATTAATAGGAAGGCAAACAGAAACATCTACTTCTCTCAGTGACATTTGTGATGGTTTTTTGTATCAGAAAGCTTTAAATGGTTCAGAAACGGCCCTTCAAACCCTCAGCTTAACATTTAGCTGTGATGGTGTGCCAGTTTTTAAAAAGTCCCCTTGTAGTATTTGGCCCCTTTTTTGCACCATTAATGTATTGCCATTGAAAACAAGACAGGATAATGTACTCCTTTGTGGACTATGGTTCGGGGATGAGAAGCCTCACATGAGAAGTTTCTTAAAACCTTTCATTGATGAGTGTGTGGACCTACAGGACAGTGGTTTCACATGGGAAGATGACAGAGGCGTTTCTGTCAATACAAAAGTAATCCCTCTAATTCTAATGAGTGACTCAGTTGCCAGACCTCTGATCCAAAATTTTAAACAGTTTAATGGTGAATATGGATGCTCCTTTTGCCTTCATGAAGGAAAGGTAGTTGAAAAAGGCAGAGGATTCACTCATGTATATCCTTTTCAGAAGGACATTCAGCTCCGCAATCAGGAACAAACTAATGAATTTGTAGAAGCTGCGCTACAGTCTGGTAAAGCTGTTATGGGTGTTAAAGGGCCAAGTATGTTGTGTAGACTTCCCAGTTTTGATATTATCGAAGGGTCTGTCCCAAACTATATGCATTCAGTACTTCTGGGTGTTGCAAGATCTGTAACAGGGCTGTGGTTAAACAGTGAAAACCATGAAAAGCACTGGTATATAGGTAGGTCTACAAAACTGTTAGATGAAATACTTTTAAAGATTAAACCGCCATGTTATGTACCTCGTGTCTGTCACATTGAGGAAATTTTGGAAAGCCCATGAGTGGTATATGTGGCTCTTTTATTATAGCTTACCTGTACTAAAAGGTGTATTGCCAGAACCACTACTGAATCACTGGTCTAAACTAGTCAAGGGAGTATCCCTTCTGTTGGGCGAAAATATAACTAGAGAGCAGATTACTGAGTCTGAGGCACTTCTAACAGATTTTGTGAAAGACATGGAGGTATTCTATGGGGAAGCTAATCTGTCTTATAATGTCCATCTTTGCCTCCATTTACCAAGAAGTGTAGTTAACTGGGGGCCTTTGTGGGCTCATTCTGCCTTTGTGTTTGAGTCTTACAATGCTAAACTACTAGACATGATCAAAAGCCCTCAAGGGGTTGCGCTACAGATTGTAAAAATGTTCTGGCTACAGAAGGCCTTACCATTTTATGGCCAGACTTTACTGAAAGATGCCTCAAATGAATGCAAGGAGATATTTGAATCTCTAACAAGACCTAAACAGTTAAAAGATGTAACTCGCACACATGGTATCACTGCACTTAATCATCCTAAAGTGCGATTAATTAGGAGGGATGACTATATGGCACTGAGTCGTTATGGGGTACAAAGGAGCAGAGTAAAGTACTTTCAACGAATCATTACAAATGGCGAGGTGTTTCACTCAGAAGATTACAGTCGTGTACTCAAACGTAATTCATTCACTGTTATGTTGAATGATGATGATCAAAATTTCTTTAACATTAAACAATTTGTAATATGTCAAAATGAAAGTGGAGAGACGTGTTATGCCATTGGAAGATTCTATGAACAAGCAAAGCATAGTCTCTGTGCCTCAAATCCAAGTTATTGTGAACCAGTATCAAAACGTCTTGGGCATCTGACAGGTATTCTTGCTGCAAAGATCAAATGCAAATGTCTGATCATTCACACTGAAAACTAAAAGTCAATTACATTTTTAGAAGCATTAATCAGTGTGAATTCCTTAAATAAGGTTAAACACGAGAAAACATGATTTTCTTCAGTGCCATGTGGTATTTTTCTGAAGTGATTTTAAACCAGTTCATAAAAAAACCCATACATAATTAAACATTAAATGGCAAAACGTCAGATATACATTACATTAAGTCATTAAGTGCTATATTATATTGCATCATTACAGGAACACTCCCTCAGAGTTAATACGTTGAGTCTGACCATTTTGGAATCCATACAGTTGATTTGTATGGTGATAACACTTTTAACATAGCTTAACATACATCATTGAATCCAAAGGGACCGTGAGCATCGCGTTGAAAAATGACCAAAGACTTAATGGTCAAACTCAACTTTTTAACTCTGAGGGAGATGGAGAATGAGCCTATTTCCAAAAAAAGTGGACTGTTTCTTTAAGTACTATATTGTATATATTTTCAAAAACTAAAGTGTACATAGCAGTTGTTGTATTTTGTGTACTGTATCAATGACAAATAATTTCAAAGTCAAGTGAATGCTAATATTGTGTAATGTGAAATACTGAATAAATAACCTAATTCTTGCTAGACCTTTGAATCTGTTTTGTTTGAATCCAACTGTTTTTGCAGATGTGATTAGATGCAGATGTTGTTACTTTTATTATTATTATTGCACTAAATACATTTTAACCTCCTAAGACCCGAACTCTTCCACGACATGCATTTTTAATTTCTCTTTGATATTTAGGCATATTGGGACCCGATGAATGTAAAAACAAAGAATTACCAGATTTTTTTTTTTACCTTATTTTTGTTTTTAAGAAAAATAAGAGCCACATATGAGGATATTTGTTTAAAATTTTGATAGAACAATAGCAGTATAATGTCTTCGTAAGTGGATATTAGGCCCCTGTAAAGCAAAATTGAGTATTTTGGTCTAAATAACCCAAAATGTGATGTCCACATATGTGGACGCCAGGTCTTAGGAGGTTGAATAAGGGATACTTTGAAATATATTCTACTGAAAGGTTGGAAATCTATTTTCTTGAACGCAAATATCTTTTGAAATGTATTTTGGTTTGAAAGAAATATATTTTCAATTTCAAAAATATATTTTTTGGAGCATCACAAATACAAAATATATTTACCATATATTTGAAATATATTTTGGCCAGGAAAAAAGTATTTTTTTTACCGTATGGGAGGTCTTGAATAATCAGGCCCCATCTTATCTTAATGACCTTATAGTACCATATCACCCCATTAGAGCACTTCGCTCTCACACTGTAGTTTTACTTTTTGTTACTAGTATTAGTAACAAAAAGAATTTAAAAGTAGAATGTGAGGCAGAGCCTTCAGTTTTCAGGCCCCTCTTCTGTGGAAGCAGCTTCCTGTTTGGATTCAGGAGACAGACACTATCTCTACTTTCAAGATTAGGCTTCAAACTTTCCTTTTTTCTAAAGCAAATAGTTAGGGGTGGATTAGGTGACCTGAATCCTTCCTTAGTTATGCTGCAGTAGGTGTAGGCTGCTGGGGGATTCCAATGATGCACTGGGTGTTACTTCTTCACTCACTATGTGTCAACAGAACTCTCTGCACTGAATCATATTTGTTATTAATCTCGGGTTCACTTCCATAGCATGTCTTGCTCCTGTCTTCCTCCCCCTGGCCCTCCCCTGAGACTGGCTCTGCTGTAGGCTTCTTCCTGTTAAAAGGGAGCTTTCCTTCTCGCTGTTGCCAAAGTGCTTCCTCATAGTGGGTCATATGATTGTTGGGTTATCTCTGTATGTATTATTGTACGGTCTACCTCACCACCTTGAGGCGACTGTTGTGATTTGGTGCTGTATGAACAAAATTAAACTGAATAATAATTTTCTAATTTTTGGGAAACAAACCAAAACAGTTGGAGAGTGTCTGACCTCACTGAATGTAAGCTGATCTGGGATCTGTGCACTGGAGCAATAGCTGTGAGTGAACCTGGACCAGCACACTCAGAATCAGGCTGGAAGAGAAGAGACCTCTAAAGACCTGCTGAGGGTGAGAGGAACCTGCATCCCAGTGCATTAACCTGTGACCATAGCTAAGGGGAACATACACAGTCTTCATGGTTCTGACATGCTATCATGTGATCATACATGTGACCCCAGGTTTAAATGCTGCACAGAAACACATGTGATGATGGTGACAGTCGTCATACCATCAGTTGTGAGGACAGCTGATGACGTGACAGTTTATCAGACTTGGCTCGCTATGTGCTCAGAGGTTTTCTGCTGCAGCTCACTTCCTATTCTCTGCTTGCACACAGGAAGCTAAAGTCGCCTTAAAAAGCTGTTGTTGTTGTTGTTGTGAGCTGATGATCGTCAGGCAGCTGATGATGACAAGCATGAGACTGAAGTTGGGCTGGGATCAGATTATCAGTTCTTCGGTTTGGACTGAGGAGCTGTCACATTCTTACCTGTGCAGGTGATCGGTGTGTCAGCGCATTCAGGTGATACTAAACATTAAAACAGGAGCGCTGTGTGTGCATGTGTCCCTGTGAGTGTGTGTGTGTTTCTTTTGAACTTTATCTGATAGAAACAAGCTCAGATCTGAAAACGAAGCGCGCGTCTATGCGCGCGCACAGGTGACCCGCAGCGTGAGTGCGGAAGTGAGCGCAGTCAGTACCAGCTGTGCGTCGCGCTGTGTGCGGCGGTTCTGGTGTACTGTCGGTGATTTTCTAGATGGGTTGCTCCCTCTCAGCGGAGGCTCCGGACCGGCGGCCGGGGCAGGAGGAGGAAGAGGATGCGTTGCTGGCGAGTCTGAGCGCGGAGAGCCGGGAGGCGATCAGGAGCAGTTGGAGGGAGATCCAGGAGGACATCAGCAGGGTGGGCGTCATCATGTTCGTCAGGTGAGTTCACGCGCGCTCCGCCGTCCTCTGTACCGACACGCAGGTAGACGTTATGAAGGAGTGTTACGTCAGAGCAGGTATCCTTAACTACCGGTCATAAAGCCGTGTTGAGTTTGTTGAAGGGCGAGGGTCTCTCAGCTCGCAGATCTGATGTCCCACCAGCCCACAGGCACGGCTGTGACGTCAATTCTGCGTAAATCGACGTTCAGTCAGAAAACAGTGGCGATTATCGTTTAGATGATCAGATTATTGTAAAAACTGCGGGTTTTTTAATGCCGCAAGGTTTGATTGACAGCTCATCACCAAACAGCGGGCATGCGCAGGTCTGAAAGACTTTCTGGTTCTGATGCAGGTGAGTGCCTCAGAGTCAGAGGTCATGTGTCAAAAGTCACGGGAGATCATGTTCTGCTTTCTGGAGTCTGAGAAAACTGTGCAGACGAACCCTGACAGGAAGTGGGCTGGAGCTGGTTTGGTTGCTGTGCCTGAGTTCGCAGAGGGTGGAGGTCCTCCTCTCCTCTGCAAGATGGAGCAGGGCCAGGCAGAGCCACAGTGTTTGGGCTCAGGAGTGCTGTTTACCTGCAGACTGATGTTACTGATGTTCATGCAAAGCAGGTGCAGCGAGCCGCTCTGCAGTCTCAGCCGCTCTCTGTGGTTTGTGCACAGCTGTCTGTTTTCGCCTTGTGTTTGTGTGTGAAAGTTCACCCCAGCCCTCAGCACAGCACAGAGGACCGTGGGTAATGAGGACGTGACCTTTCTGCAGCTGCAGGTTCACTGACTGCCCTTTGTTAGCTTATCAGACATCAGAGCAGCGCTCACACCAACCATTTAACTCCACCCCCACCCTCTTCCAGGCTGTTTGAGACTCACCCGGAGTGCAAAGACGCCTTCTTCACCTTCAGAGACCTGAATGATGTGAACACCCTGAGGGCGAGCAAAGAGCTGAAAGCCCACGGCCTCAGGTTACACACACACAAACACACACACACACACACTTTAAGTGAGAGCTGAGCAGTGTAACTGTGAGTGGGGGAAAAGTTTGTGACCAAGCAGAAACAGGGACAAATGTGCTAACAGCTGATCAGCTGATTTCACAAATGACATAAAACATTAGTCAAATGAGGCGTCAAACATAAATACCACCTCTGTTGGACTTATAAATAAAGTTCTTTTGAAGCCAGGAAGGATGTGAGGGTGGTGCTAATCTAATGTCATACACAATAACAAGAAGCAGATGTTGTTATCAGTCATAATGACTTGCGTCCATTTTTATCTCTGAAACTGAAACACTTTGTTAAACTGTGTGGGAGAGGAAATATAAAACTGTACTCTCACCTCTTGCTGTAACATTTTGTATGAGGGCTGCAATGAGGGCTCAAGATATATTTATTATTGCCTCTGATCAGAATTATTGCAATCATACAGAAGCATGAAATTAACCTTTCATTTCATTATAGCACAGCCCAGAGGGCCGGTTAGCTGACAGCTAGCAGCAAAAGCTGCCTGTGACTCCTGCAGGGTCTCTGGTTTTAGCAGAGCCTCCTGTTGACTGGTTTTCTCCTCTGCTCTCTCTGCAGGATCATGTACATCATCGAGAAGACGGTCGCCAGGATCGACCAGGACGACCGTCTGGACCAGCTGATCCTGGATCTGGGCAGGAAGCATTACCAGTACAAAGCCCTGCCAAAATACTATGATGTCAGTGTGAAGCTGAACACAGTGGTGGGGATTTGTTTCCACTCAGCTGTGACATTAGTTCAGTCCACACTGGTCATCCTCAGCCGAGCCTGCTCACACACGTCTAGCAATTCTTCTCAATTTTCTGAGCTTTAGGCAGATTGAAAGCTATAGGAGGGTTGTAGAAGAGCTGGAGGAGGATTGTAGGAGGGTTTTAGAAGAGCTGGAGGAGGGTTGTAGGACAGCTGTAGGTGGACTGTAGGACGGCTGTACTAGGATTAGGGATGGGTATCGTTTAGGTTTTATCCGATACCGGTGCCAAACCGGTACTTTTGAAATGGTACCGGTGCTTAAACCGGTGCTTAAAGAATGGAGAACACAAACTTTGTCCAAAAACCTCTTATGTTTTTATTTTTAGCAGTCTCTTTTTTTCTGCAAAATGATAACCAAGTTAGCCTTTTCTGTTGATACAACATACCTCCTTTGGTTGGAACCGGTGCTTAAACAATGGAAAACACAAACTTTGTCCTAAAACCTCTCATGTTTAGATGTTCTTTTTTGTAAAAAGATAACAATGTTAGCCTTTTCTGCAGCTATAGGGCATACAGTGGCTTGCAAAAGTATTCGGCCCCTTTTAACCTTTCCACATTTTGTCACATTACAGCCACAAACATGAATCAATTTTATTGGAATTCCACGTTGTGGCGTGAATAAGGCACGGCGGGACCACGGAGCAACGTTCAGAACCAACTTTATTTTAATTCACGTCACACCACACACACACCAACCCCTGAGTCCCCGTGTTTTAACACGGCGGGCGTGATTGCGGATGCCGTGCAGGTGCGTCCGCACGGCACCGCAAACCACGCCCCACCACACACGTGAAAGACCAATACAAAGTGGTGTACACGTGAGAAGTGGAATGAAAAATCATACATGATTCCAAACATTTTTTACAAATAAATAACTGAAAAGTGGGGTGTGCGTAATTATTCAGCCCCCTGAATCAATACTTTGTAGAACCACCTTTTGCTGCAATTACAGCTGCCAGTCTTTTAGGGTATGTCTCTACCAGCTTTGCACATCTAGAGACTGAAATCCTTGCCCATTCTTCTTTGCAAAACAGCTCCAGCTCAGTCAGATTAGATGGACAGCGTTTGTGAACGGCAGTTTTCAGATCTTGCCACAGATTCTCAATTGGATTTAGATCTGGACTTTGACTGGGCCATTCTAACACATGGATATGTTTTGTTTTAAACCAGGGGTCACCAACCTTTTTGAAAGTGAGAGCTACTTCTTGGGTACCGATTAATGTGAAAGGCTACCAGTTTGACACACACTTCTCAAATAACAAATTTCCTCAGTTTAACTTAATTATGTGTTATCATTAATAATTAATGATATTCATCTATGTACGGACACTAATTATGTTAATTATTTTTCACCATAATTATAAAGAATGCAATTAGGAAACAAGGTAGGAAACATAAATATCAATATGCAACGCTTTATTTCTATATATCTCTGCAAGTATTTACATTTTGAAGTGATCACTTCTACAACATTTTCACTTACCACTAACAAATTTTAACAAATCATGCACTGTTACATACATTACTTTTGTATGTATGTAACATACAAAAAATCAACTTTCAAATTTTACAGAACTTTTCACCAAATTGGCAGCATTTTAAAGCAAATTGTCACATGTTACACTTAACAAACACATTTGTTTTTCAATAATTAAATTCAACTTTGACATGACACTGTAATGTTGCCACTGAGAACATCTAATATGGCTTTCTTTGTCTGTTAGTGGGAAACCTGGCATTGCATGCTGTTCACCAGTGTGTTGTAATTTGGGGTATAACTTGACACTGCAACTCTGAGTGAGTCTTGCAGATGTGCATC